AAATACAGCTATCGCTTATTTGTTTAATATATAAGACAATGTATTTCATAGTTCAACTATAGAAGGAAATACTACATATAGTTTACTTACAGGGTGTTTCGCATTTTTCCGTACATAGTTCAAGAATGTGTTCAACAAGTAAAGATAAGACCAAAATGTAATATAATAAAAAGTCCATAAATGCTTTGTTAAGAATTCGTGACAAAAATACAAAATACAATTTAAGCGCTGTTGAATATACCTATAGTTCTCACACGACTAGAAGGCACCTTTGCCCTTACATTCCCCTCTTACTAGCTGCGGCAGTGGAATAAGAGGGGGAATCTCGTCGCGTAAGGCCTATACTTGAAGTTGTACCGCGAACGTACGGGGAAGCTTTAAACACGTTTTTCTCAAAACTGTGTTTTTTTTTCAAAACGGTATCTGCGATCTTTCAAAAACTGATTGACCGACCACCACAAAACTTTGCACAAATATTCAGCACTTATAAACTAGAATGATTAAAAAATTCACATCCCTCTATTTTTTTCCACACTCACATAATTATAAAAATACGTGAAAAAATCGACAAGTTACGTCCAAAGTACCGTGAATTTTTATTTACCGATATCTTTTCTTTTATCTAGTTCCTACCATAGTTGTACCCATACTTTAAAGGTATATTAGTCATTTTTTCGTTTATGGTAACAGAGGAAGCCTGTATATCATGGCCACCATCGACTACGGATTTTTGAACTTAATATTTTTATTATATTTTATATTATTATATTTTATATATTATAATATATATTTTTATTTCAACTTAATTGAACCTAACGATCTGTGGCCCTGACATTTTTCCACCTTTCCTAACGAGAATTTAAAGATAAGTAATTCAAGGTTGTTCAAATAAACATTATTAATCTGAAAACGCAAGATCTTAATGATTCTTTGCAAGAATTCTTCAAAAATATGAAAAAGAAACCGAGCGAGTTGGTAGATGACCCCCTTAAAAAGAAACGTTGTTCAGTGTCAAGGGACAAATGTTATGGTAAACGAACCATTTTTGTCAAGGTCGTACCGTTCGCTAGTTTTCAAAACACACAATAGAGGTTCATTTGAATTCCGGATATCAATCGAAAGGTATTCAAAATTTCTGCTTTGTATCAGATTGTACGTATATACCGTATGTAAAATGCATTTCCAGTATTGGAAGTCCATTGTAATGGTGCAGTAGTTCTGTCGCTCGTGTTCCGAACGCAATTTCATGATACCGTATAGAATTTATAATATTCTCCTTCGGCAAGGTCAGCGTGTGTCGCGGGAAACCAAATGAAAAAGTTGTTTGCCGCAGCGATATTGTATTGCTGTTACGTTTCCCATTTCACGTATCGCTTACATGCGTGAACAGAGTAAACAGGAAGATGCAGCAGTGCTCATCGGGTACAAAGCGGAATAAAGTGCGCGGATGTTGATTTTTCTAGTAATTTAAAAAAAAAGTCACGATTTCTTGTTCTTTATTCGTTTCATTATGCATATTTAATTTTTTGGCAATTTTCTATGCTTCAACGACAATGGCTGTACGAATATTTTTTTTGTATAAAGCAATTTTATAGACACGTCCTAATTCGATTTATATTATTTTATTATATTTTTTATATTATTTTATTCTATATTTATATCGTTTTTTAAATAACGTTGTAAATAGTTCAACGTGTTCGAGCAATATTTATACAGTTCAACGCGTTTGTGCTGGGAAATTAGACTGCGGATTTTGTGCAAATGCATCATAAATATGATTAACCCTTAAATGCATGACTTTTTGTTTTGAATTTTCAAAAATCGTTTTTTATAGGAATGTAGTCATAGGTTACGTAAAAAATAAATTAAAAAATCTAGGTAATAATACTCAGTATTTATTTTGAAATAAAAGTTGTATGTAGACTTTTGGCAACAATATGCGTTTATTACTAAAATTATTGTAGACGTAAACAAATGGTCATGTATTTATATTATCTATTAGTATAGGAATTTTCAGATTATTTATAAATGAAATGCAGCAAAGCAATTGCGATTTTTGTTATGACACAAAGCAATTTTTAAACTCGAAAAAAGAAAATATCTCTCCAAGTAACACATTGAAGGTTATCACCCACCACATTCAAATGTCAAAAAATATATAACTTACTCGCCAAAAGTAATGTCAAGTCTTTTATTTCACACATGGTCTATTGTCTATTGTTATCAACGTGTATCCGGAAACGCACATACTCAAGTTTTTGAATAAAATTACGTGGAACTGGAATGTAGACAATTGGCAACAATATGCATTTAAGGGTTAAAACATCTAGGTGAAATATCAAGCAATGAAGAAATTAGAAGAATTTAAGAATATTCGTACAATCTCCTCGATTTATTAAAATGGTCAAAACAATAAATACATTATTATTTAATCTCTGATCTTTACAATTGATTGTGAAAATATATGTATATTTGTATCAATGTTATACCATAATTTTGAGCACGAAAATCATTTTAGTCATTATTTACAAAGTGACAATCCTCTCCGATTTTAGTATACATGTTGTACAGCTCGATATTTTAAACAACTTTTGCCTTTGTACAAAATGTCCTGCTTTATTTATCGAGATATTTGCGAAAAACTGTAGACCTAAACCAGTCCTAATCCCCAGACCTAACCTATGTAACTAACGCCTTTTCAAATTTATAGTTTAACGACTCTATTTTACGTTAAGTAAGCTCTGTTTTAAGTCTTCGTTATTTGTTTCAAAAAAAAATAACGCCCGTTATATAGATCGCTAAACTGGTCCTCGTAATGTGTCTATAAAAACAGTAAATAAGGGGTGCCAGCATGCTGACGCATATGTTACCACGAAGCGTGCAAGGATATGTAAAATTCAATGTAGTAATGGCTACATTTTCTTGCGAATATCTCGGAAACTAAAGCTGAAGAGAAAAATTGTTCAACACACATAATGACGATAAAAAATACTAAAACAAAAAAGAAGAATATATGTCAAAGTCAAGGTCATGTACATATGTAATGCAAAATACTAAATGTAAAAATATAAATGATTACAGAATCTCAAATTGTAAGATAATACATATTAGTCAGTTCTAGTACTTAATAGGTTTAACGTTGACGGAGAAACTTAATGCAAACACGCAATGGAATCGAGGAGAATCGAATTTCGCTTAAGCTTTGGTAGCTATTGTGGTCGATTGTGAGATGTATTAGGAAACTTTAGAAATATGAATAACTATGCTGTTATGTTAAATTGTAATACATTAAAATAACGTGTAAATTCGTAACATACGTAAAAAATACGTAAAATTCTGTAAATTTAAAATATAATGTAAAATCATGAATAGACCGCGGAATTTATGCATTTATAACAAAATGATTACCTACAACACGAAACAGCAAAAAGATTAAAAACATTCAATAAAGTTGTTATACTATTATCATAAATAATTACCGATGCAGCTAGGTAGAATCTACGGTTCGTATCTATACAATATGAGTCACCGTAACAAACAAGTTTTTGTTTTCACTAAATAGATAAGGGTTTGAAATAAATAAAATAAAAGAACAAAAAATAAATTTAAAAAAAAAACAAAGTAAAAAAATGTCTCATAAAGAAACGAAAGTTATTTATGACTCCATCTAATATTTTTGACTTCTTAACATTATTTAACTCATTGCACTATAAAAACGCGTTAGACACTACCTTTTAAGTCGAAATAAAATCCTATTATTCTGTTATCAATGTTTAAACGTTCAAGCGAAGGTTGGCATGTACTAGAAATTTAAAATTTTTAGCTGTGAAAGAAATTGTAGTGGAAGTGAATAAAAATCTAAGTAGTCATCCATGTACAGGGTGTCTCATTTAAGTTGAGAATGTAAAAAATCTCAAAGACAAGGGATTAAAAAAAAAAGAACCAAACTGACACACGTCCTTTAGTATTTCAAGTGGGGAGTCAAATGGCTATACTAGTTTTTTATTGCGTGGGCGTTTTCAAGGTTACTTCAAGGTCATCTTGATTTTTTTTTATAAAACTATATTTTTTATTTCGAAATCATATTCTACGTAAAAAAATGCACAATTTTTGTATGAAACATTTTGTTTGGAATTTGATGTTCTTAAAAGAAATAAAATACCTTCCGGAAGAAAAGTAAGAACGTTATTTTAATGAGAATACGAAATTATCCTTGGCATAACCGTGAAAAATCAGCCAAATATTTTAAAAAGTATCAAATTCACATAAAATGTTTCAAACAAATACAAGTTGATGACAACAAAAAAACAAGATGACCTTGGAATAATTTTGAAAATGACCACGTATTAAAAAAACTGGTAGGGACATTTAACTCTTCGCTCAAAATAGCAGAGGACATGTGTGAATTTGTTTTTTATTTTAAATCACGTGTTTACGAGATTTTTTGCAATTTCAACTTAAATGGGACATCCTGTATATTCATATATTTCGAATCCTAAGAATGACGTTCAAATTCAAATTTCGAAATGTAACAGACTATATTATAATCATAATGCTGAATTAAAATATACCAATAACGTAAAATTAGAATAACAACGTTGAGTTTTATATATAGGGTTTGTCACGAGAAAGAATAACACTGGAGTATCTCTGTTGGCGCGAAGGATCGAAGAAATTTGCAAAAGCGACATGAAATCGTTCAAAAGGGACCATATTTTGTTTTTTGAAGGCCGTCGATATATTCAGTCGAAAGAAAATCTCAACCATATCTCTAGCCTGATGTGACCTTTGACAAATGCCTGTAACGTAAATGTATTGTAATTTAACCTGTAATGTAAATGATCGAAACAGATTTTAAAATTATTCAGTACGATCGGTATCTGTATCAGCAAATTTAATCTGGAGGAAACTTGCAAGAGGTGAAACCACGAAGAAAGAGATTAGATAAATACAGTCTGGGCGAGTTATAATAGGAAATCGTACCGTCGTCTTACTTTCAGATGGTGCGCTCACCTTCGACACGACGGGTTTACTTCATTCAGTATCGGAAAGAGACTCGTCGGGTTTGACAGCCAACCTTCAGTGCGATAACTTGTCATTTTGGATCAGTTCTGTGAATTAGGTTGGTGCCAGTGAAATTTAATTCCGCAAGAGAATAACATTTTCTGAACTAATTTAAATAACGTGCTGCAAAGATTCTCCAAAATCTTCGTAGGTTTCCCGACAAACAAACTCGAGTGACATAATTTGGAATTTTAGATCGGTTTCGTGAATTAGTTTCATATCAGCCGAATTGGTGTTTACAAGAGAATATAATACCTTGCGAAGCAATGTAAACAGCTGATATTGCCAGAGAAACTCTTCGAAGTATATTTATAGCATTCTTGACAATCGACTCGAGAGCCATGATTTGTCATTTTCGATCGGTTTTGTGAATTCTGTTGGTGTTGGTCAAATTGAATTTGGCAACGTAATAATATCTTGTGAACTAGCTTTAAACAATTGTGTACTATAAATCCTTGACAAAAGATTTATAATATTCTAGGAAAAATCAACGAAGTAATGTCGAGCAACTTGAAGCGTAACACTGTGTAAAAGCCAGCTTCGATGTACTTTAAGAATGTTTTCACATTTTAGCGTAGAATTTTCTGTTACGTTGTATATTATTACTGTCGTAAATTGTCGGGGAATAATAATCGCGAACAATGCTTGATACAAAAGCAGATTAGTTATTCTTTGAAAAACTGTTTTAAAAGTTGAACAGTTAGTTGCATATAAACTGTATGTACATTGAGAATATGTAAATTAGTTTTAACGCAACAAAAAACTGTTTTAAAAGTTGGACGATTGTGCAGGTATCTCGAAATGTATTTTTTCTAAAGATTATTAACATTTAAACAATTTTCGCGATGATAAATGGTATTCCTGAAGCAACAAATAAAATTTTCAAGTATTACTTTTTTACGTTTCAAGTGGACAAGCTAAAAAAAAAGAGTTTCTCGTATAAAACAATTGTATAGACTCTTGTGAACACGATGGTATATATTTTCCTTTTTGTAAGAATAGGTCAAGAGAATAGAAGAATAAGTCATAATAAGTTTGTTTCATTCTTATATATATGATAATCGATAATTACATATAATATATCAAGTTTTGGTAAAATATCAAATGGCCAATATGAAGAGTCGAATAAAAACAGCAGGCACGAAACGTGTTAACGGTGGAGACAACACAAAACATGCTGATATTTTCTCTACCATTTGTGAAAGAAATAAAATTGAAGTGAAATTTAGAAGACTCTGTCGATACATTGCAATTAAAACTGAATTTTATCGGCGAGTTACACGAATAGTACAGATGTTGAGTCTAAATGAAATTGAAAATACTCGAAATGCATACCATAGTTTAGGCCTGAGCAACTTGTGCTTACGAAGTAAGCTACGCTCGAGTCGATGCTCCCTCTACCACGTTTGCACGTGGCTTGGTGGTCGAATATCCGTTTTCTACGAAAACATTATTTTAAAAACTTTGTATAAAACTTTGTAATATTACAATAAATCAATCGAAGACTATAGTACTTTCAAAGAACAACAGCAATATATTTGTTATTTTTAAAAAATTGCTTTCAATTATTTTGTTACTACTATTCATAATTCTTCCTTTTTAAATTTTGTCTTGTAAAAATTATTCAATGCGGCAAGTATTTCATTTTAAGCTAAAAAAAATAAACGGAAATACAAATCTTAACACTAATTAATTATTTTGTTGCATTCATAATTAAAATCCATCGAGTTCCTCCGAATTATTTTTCTAATTAAAACCTCGCATAAATATCAACATTATAGTTGAAATACTTACTAATTTTTGCGATCATAGAAAATAAATTTTTGCCATGTTTTGTTACAATGATCTGCCATAGTTGATTAAGATTGTAAAGCTCTACTTTGTTACTCCAATAAAGAGCCAATTTTGTTTTCAAATTTTTGTTATCTCCCTTTACAGATTCGCCATTGACTATCAGACCGCGCAAACATGGAAATCTGTATGTCAGCAAGCTGCAACGCGGCGTTGTCGCCACTGCCAACTAGCCTCTTCTCGCAGTTGGTCAACGTGCTCTTGCTCTCGCAATGCGCTTTGGATCGGAGCGCGGATTATCCGCCGGATCGCACGGCAGATATTCTATTGAAAAAAGATTTCGATTTTGTGATTGTTGGGGGTGGGACTGCGGGCTCTGTGGTAGCCCGACGACTAGCAGAGGTAGACGACTGGGATGTTCTCTTGATCGAGGCTGGGAAGGATGCTAGTCCCACCAGTGAAGTCCCAGGATTTCTGATGACTCTACCCAACACTGCTGAAGACTATGCTTATAAGGTATAGAGAGCATTGTTTTATAAGAAAAATTAACTAGTGCTCCTAATGAAGTTTCTCCTATCAATAGAAACATCTAGCACACACACATTGGTCACGATTTTCGACTTTTCCCCCTTCGTCATTGACTACAGTCTTAAATTGACCTCATGAATTGTCTCCATTAGGTCAATGACCGCAGATATTATATGTCCCCTTTAGGTCACTGACCGCAGATTTGAAAAGTTCGCTTTGGGTCACTGACCGCAGATTTGAAAAGTTCGCTTTGGGTCACTGACCGCAGATTTGAAAAGTTCCCTTTTGGTCACTGACCACATGTTTTAAATGCTCCCTTTAAATCACTAACCACAATTTTAACCCCCCACCCCCTTTAGGTCATTAACCATAAGTTTCTAGCTTATTTACTATACTTCTAATACTTACTTGCTCTAACTACAAGTTTAAATTGTCCAAACTTGATCACTGGCCAAAGGTTTTAATCGACTACTCACCTTAGTTTTTAGTTGTCTTTTCTGAGTAACTGACCACCAGTTCTCATTGTCTCCAATAGATCACTGACCTACGGCTTCTGTTAAGTCACTGACCACTGGACTCCCGTCCATCTGAGAATAAAATACTCAACAGATGTTCTGTAGTCTAGAGGCTCGAGGTACTCCGTTTAGTGGCCCTACTGCGTTTCCAGAGAAACTAGAGCCACGAAACTCCGCAGCACTGCTAGGCAAGTGTGAGGAGCCTTTAGAGACTACAGAGACTACAGTTTAGAGGCTACAGAGCAATTGTCGAACTGCTATCACTGGATCACTGATCATAAGTCATACCATGCATCTTAAATCACTAATCCCATTTGTCAGCTGTTTAAATTGTGATCATAAATTTTTCTATCGTAACCATTAGGTCACTGACGAATTGTTAATGAGCTTATTTCCTGCTGCCTCTATTAGGTCACTGACCATTCTTTGTCACTCTAACTAGTAGTTGCCTAACAACAGTTTTTAACCGTTTCCACTGGATCTTTGATTATAGTTTTTGCTATTCTGATTGTGTCATTGACCATAGATTGCAATTCCATCATTGTGTTACTGACCATAGTTATCCATTACTCTACTTGCCGTCAATGATCATAGTTTCCCACTGTTCCTGTTGGGTCACTGGCCATAGTTTTCAAATATAATTTCTATTCTCTTCAATAGTATTCTGATAAGGATTTCTATTGCCCGAACAACTTTAGTGACCGCAGTTTTTCTGGCCAGGTCACTGCTTTCTACAAAAATGATTAGTCAAGATTCTCTGCTTACTTTGTTGCTCCTACTAGCATTCTGACAACGAATTCAGCTACTTTCACTTGAAATCTGTGAGAATAATTATTATTATTCGGACTCGGTCATAGACCACACTATAGACCTCGCACGACAAGAAGATACCTTCGTGTTCGCATTCCCCCTCTTTACCAGCTGTCCCACCGCCGCAGCTGTCGGTCGCTATTGGCCGAAAACGACGACGAAGATCTACAGCGGTTAATAGAGGGGGAATGTAAAAACAAAAGGTGCCTTCTTGTCGCGCGAGGACTATACTTGCAGGCTACAGTTAGATGAATGAACCCCGTTTCCGTTATTTCCATAAGCCACTTACTCACAATGATTCGAATTCATAAAAACGTACGCAAACTCACGACATTAATACTCAGTTCTGATTGTGATAAATGAAAAGAGGACATCGTTAACTTGCGAGAATCTCCGAAATGACAACTAGTTTTTCCAAACTACCATGTCATTTCACAGATAGCTGGAGAGATTAATTGCACAAATCGATCTATAAACTGCAGTTCCAACTTTGTCACTCAAATAACCTTGCGCTAATGCATTAACCTTCAAACGAAAACATCTGAAATACACACGCGATAATACTAAACGTCCAACCCACCCCTATATCGCAAATCTGAAATACTCTAAGAAGAATGGTCAGCTGTTGTGACTCTGAACGCGCATCATGCGACTTCTTGTAAAAAGTAAACCATAAAATCGTTAATCTTGTCTTCAGACAGAGCCGCAGCCTGGCGTCTGCCAGGGCAACAAGAACAAGCGGTGCGGTTGGCACAAGGGCAAGGCCCTTGGCGGCAGTTCAGTAATAAACGCAATGTTAAACGTGTTCGGCAATGACAGAGACTACAACCAGTGGGAGGAGCAAGGCAACGAAGGCTGGGGCTACGAGAACATGCTCCGGTACCTTCGGAAGGCAACCAATTGTCCGCCAGAATACATAGCCGAGTTTGGTGACAGGCACTGCGGAACGAACGGCCCGATGAGCATTAGGAGTTACAACTACTCTGACACGATCCAACAAGAGCTTTTCCTAGACGCAGCCCGGGAGATGGGCGTGGGTGTGCTGGAGCCTGTAGTCAGCGACCGATACATTGGCCTGGGGAGAGCCTTCGGTACTATGGACAATGGGGAGCGAATGAACGCCGCCAAAGCGTTTCTGTCTCCCATCAGAAACAAGAAGAATTTGTACGTGATGAAGTCCACCAGAGCTGACAAAGTTCTGTTGAAGGACGACAAAGCAGTGGGCGTTCGTGTGACGTCAGAGGGCCTGGCTATAGACATAACCGCCTCGAAGGAAGTCATCCTGTCAGCGGGTAGCATCGGCAGTCCTCAGTTGCTGATGCTTTCGGGAATAGGGCCCAAGAAGCATCTAGAAGACATGGGGATTCAGATCGTGGCTGATCTGCCGGTGGGCAAGAACCTCCAGGATCACGTGCTCTGGCCGGGTATTCTGATTAGCTACGTGAACGAGACGACGGCCCCACCCTCGTCCTCATTTGGTTTGGATCTAGCCTACAATTACTTGGTCCACAAAGCGGGGGAGCTGGCTGCGGTATGCGTCAACCTAATGGGATTTGCTAATCTGGAAGATCTCGGCCTAGATTCAGAGAGTAAGTACAGCAATTAGGCATTCTTATATAGGGTGTTCGATAGACGTTGCACCAGCGGATTTTAGAAACGGTAGATGTTAGGTGACGACTTGAACGTTTCTTGGCTCAAAATACTCTTTCTTTTGAATCGTCTAGTTGATTAACAAATGAACTCAGACGCGCACAATAACTTCGAAACGACCTTGATCTTGTAATCGCAGAGCCATACGCTGGGACTCTGAAGTATCCGGACATTCAGTTTCACTTCGGTCACTTCCCAAGATGGATACCGCTGAAGATAGCCAGCGTGTACGACATGGTCAACGCGGAGGACGAGATAGTGCAAGAGGTGACAAAGATGATCATGGAGGGCGACATTGTTCTGGCAGCCAGCACGCTGCTGCAACCGAAGAGCAGAGGGGTCCTCGAGCTGCGCAGCACCGACCCAGCGGACTCCATGAAGATCTACGCGAACTACCTCGCTGAGAGGGAAGACTTGGAAATCTTGTTGAAGTCAGTGGACTTTATCAAGGCTCTGACGCAGACCCCCACATTGAAGAAGTACAACATGACGTTGAGACATTTCAATCTGCCCGGGTGCAGGGACAAGCTGCCCGATTCTCGGGAATACTGGGAGTGCAACATCAGGCAACTAGCTTCTAGCGTCTACCATCATGTTGGCACTGCCAAGATGGGAACGAAGGACGATCCCACCGCCGTGGTAGATTCTAGGCTGAGGGTGCACGGCGTGCAGGGGCTGAGAGTGATCGACGCGTCGATCATGCCGAACATAGTCAGTGGGAACACAAATTCGCCGACTATGGCGATCGCGGAGAAGGGCGCCGATATGATGAAAGAGGATTGGGTGAAGAATTATCACAATGAGCTGTGACATGCCGGTCACATCACTGCACGGTTAAATTTACATGGAGAGAATTGACTTTACAAGGACTAGCTCGAGTACTGACTCGACGAAATAAGAGAATAAGAGAACATGGTATCCTCTGAAAATATTCGAATCAAATGAAGTGAGGAATTCTTGAGATCGTTAAGGTTCCTTAGGGACTCTATCCTTAGCAAATGTGACCTCGACGGTTTTCTTAACGAGCTGTGAAAGATAAACACGGGCCAATGAGAGAGCGTGTAGGCTTGGCGGTCCGCTTTCACGATAGCGAGTGTGACGTGGGATTGATTTTATCGGAACGCACTAGCTGTATTCGCATTTTGATTAGCCAGTGTTTTTCGTTGATAACTCGTTAACAAAGCAGCGTGGGACGTTTTTGCTAGAGAAAATGTGTCTTCAAATGACCTCAAGAATTACTCGTATTATTTAATTCGAATGAGAATGAAAATTGAAGAAAATGTTTAATGAGGCAAGAATGTTTGCATAATTTCCTTCTATGGTCACGTCCATTTTATCATTATTATTATTATTATTATTGTTACTGTTGTTATCATTATATTTATTATCATTATTATTATTATTATTATTATCAGATCTTATTTTAAACTGCGTCATTCAACACCGATGGTTCCTGATAATACAACCTACATATATTATAATAAAAATCGCTGAGAAGATCTGAAAAAATATATGCTTGTATATACTCCACAAACCTAGTGTTATCCATACCAATAAAACATAAACGCACATTTAAAAAAAATACGTTTTCAGTAATTGTAGCCTTAGCTTTATAATTGTAACATCAATGGATAGCAGCGATTCTTCGGATTAAATTGAGTCCACACACGACGTAAATGATATTAATTTCAGCACATATTTTGGATTAATTAATACGCAATCTACAGGATGAGTCGCGTAACTTGAACACCTCGAATAACTTTTAAATTGTGTTTTTTATGAAAAATTGTTGAGCACATGGCTTTAAAGATGAACGGCGATTTTTGCACGGGGAGCGATTTCCAAGTTTTTTAAATCAACCAGTTAAAAGCCATTTATGGTGTGCAAATTACGTGACTTACCCTGTATAATAATGTATAACGTACGGAGTTTTTTCACCGTGACATTACTTGGCCTACTCTTCGGGTAGTTTCCCAGAGGGGGAGGGGGTCAAATAAGGACCTCTTGGTGGTCCCCTGGATTGCGTTACCATTAGTTTTAGACGAATTTCTCTGCATTCCTCAATGCGTGAAAATCGAGAGCACGGAACACAGGATACGCAAAAGAGTACATATTTAAACAATTGTAACTTTTGGAAATATAATATACAGGGTGTTCCAAAAATGTCTAGCAATCTGGAAGGGGGTGATTCCTGAGGTCATTTGAAGTAACTTTTTCCTTAACGAAAATGTAATCCGCGGCTTCGTTTACGAGTTATTAACGAAAAACAGTGATCAATGAGAGACGAGATCAGTTGGCGCGAGAAGCACATGGCGGCAAAACATTGTGTACATGTTGCCGACGAACATTTTCTCGATCTACTCGAAATGTATATCGTTCCGACATTTTTACCGGGCCGTTTCTTCTTCAGAAATGTCTGCAGAATCCGATCCTGGGTAGAGTTTTCGTACCTAACAAAAAACTTTTCGTAAAAATACAAAAATATTGCGCCGAAACTGCGCACGTCGACACTTTTTAAAATTTTGACATCAATTTGTTGCTATTTAGGACCAAAAACAATTAATAAATTGCATGCCACTATATTCGGGAAACTCTTTTCTATCCTTTAACACCAATTAGAACTTTCTAACGTTTGTACTTTCCATGCAATACCTCATTTTTGTCGAAAATTTTGGGTTTTTACGAAAGTTCGTTTATTTAAAAAACTGAGGGTGATGTAGCAATTCGGTTTCGGGATTCTTGTTCAGGGAGTGAAGCTCTACAAGAATTTTATAGTGGCTATAGGAAGCCAGAAAAAAAGTTTCATTTTGTCAGACAGTGTTATCGAAGTCGGTGCCGCTCCTACTTTATCGACTGCTGCATTTGAGATGACGGGCGAGACACAGCGCGGTGGTCGAAACTGCCACCTACCACCTAGATACATGCATCAGTCTGGATAGGCGCTATTCAATGTGTTAGTGATGGCTAGTATTCCTTCTCGAAAATGTCTCGAGAAATTTTATAATTGGTTATTTCTCGCTTCTCGAGAAATTTAAATCTAGGAAAATTCTTACGGATCTCATTTATTTTATAACATATTTTCGGAAATGAATTTTTAGTTAACTCAAATTGCATATTGTACTAATCAGTCGCGTACGTATAAGCGATTGATTTACTCGTGATTCTCTGTTCTGCGTGAACAAAGAGGCAGTTTACGGTTGAATTCCGAAAATGAAAGTGTAGTTCTTGTGTCCATTTGTGCATAGTTGGTGTCAAATTGGTTGGTGTTACCGTAATTTATTTGTTGTAATTTTTATTTATTTATTATTTGCATAATCTGGTTAATCGTAATATTTTAGCCTGACAATATGAATAAGGCGAACAAAGATTACTGGGAATATTTTCGAAAAAGTAAAAACAGAGAATCTGCTACCTGCAATACTTGTGAAAAGTATCAGTAGTTCTAGTTTTAAATCCGTGAGACGATTTTGGTATTCATACGACAACGGAACAATTAATAAATTTATTACATGACTATCCTTGTCAGAAATAATTCGCACCTGTTGATCGATTTTCACTTAATCAATTCAGTAAAAGTGGATTTATAAAACATAGTTTATCGCTTAAAAAATTCATTCTCCCCTGTAATCTGTAGGATGTAATGCAATTACTGATGCGCTACTATACGCAGAAAAAAGAATTAATTAAAAAAATAAAAACACTAAAATTAAACAACAAAAAATTCAGCATATCTATTGATGAATGGACGAGTGTAAATAATAAAACATACATGTATATAAGTATGTATTAGAGTAGCAAGAAATCTACGAATTTAAGGTTACTACCAATTCATGGAAGCTGTACAGTTTTAGAACTACTTAATGTAAAACTAAATTCCTTTAGTTTTTCACTACAAGAAGACGTTTTAACTGTTGTGAGTGATGGGGCACCTGTTGTAGTCATGGGGTACATTTAGCTGTTTTAAAAATATTTTATTAAAAAAAATTCTGATTATACCTACTCTGGTGATGCAGACGAAAACAATAGATTTTTGGAAAACGAAAATAAGGATCCTATTAAAAGACCACTGTTTGAAATAAATGTAGATTACACGTGGAACTATGAATAATATATAAAAATTTCCGATATTATATTAGCAACATTAGAGTCTATAATAGAAAAGCTTAGTAGAGAAGATTCGACATTATTAACTGCTGAAGGTGTTCTTAAATTCTTATTTAAAAAAACTGAATACCGAATTAAGTAATGAGTTTCTTGTTGTTATTAAAGAAGAAATATCTGAAGGAAGAGACAAGATTGTTGCATCCCTTATAAAATATCAGCATAATCCAGAATCTTTGCAAAAAGATTCAGAAGATACATTTTTCTACTTAACATCCAAGGCAGATACATAATAAGTGGTAAAACAAATTTTAAGCAGACTTCTCGAAAAATATAACAATGATTCTTATGAAAATAACAAAAAACTTTCAGATCCTCGGAATGAGGAACTATCACTGTAAAAAAACACAATTAATGAATTCAAGAATTTAGTATCAAGGAGTTTAGCGTCAGAAGAAAATAAATTCCGGACTCCAACAAAGGAATTCCAGATTTTAATCCACTGGAAAAAGGACACCTAGTCTGCAGCAACTTTTGGATGTTCTACATATAATAAAGCCAACATCCGCACAAAATGAAAAATATTTTCCTATGGTTACAGATTTGGTTAGAAATAAAAGAAGTAGATTGTCCGGTTCTACATTAGATGCACGATACTTCTTAAGAAGTCATTTCGAAACAAAAGCATAATGTTTCATTTTATAAAAGCTTGGTTTTAAATAAATAAATTTATCGGTTATATTTAGCGTCAACTTTTTCCTTGTTTTTAAAGTTATGTGTATATTGGATGGAAATAAACATTGAGTTAATGTTTTTTGCGCTTTCGATAAATATTATCAACGATATACTAAATGTCGTAACTGTTCTAAAATATTTTTAATTTACTAAAAATTCTAGAGAATTCTCGAGAAATATAGTCTTCTTTCTCATTTCTCGAGAAGGGAAAAATGTTGACAAATCAGGAACACTACCTTTTAATACTACCTTTTAACTGCACCTTTTAATCTACAGCAATAAAAGCTTTTTGTGAATATCTTGAAAACTACTAAATGCTTAAAATATTTAAGTCAACATTAATATGAAAAGTATATTTATATTTTTCATAAAAATCAATATAATCTTACAAAAATTATATCGTATCTGGTCTTATTTCAATCAGAAAAAGCTCACAATTGCATTGGCAAAAGTCCCAATAAGAAGTAGTAAAAAATAAAAATGTCACACATTGCGTTATTATCTACCCTTCATTTGCCGTTCTTTTCTATGTTCGGAAAATATAAAGTCGAACGCCGAATCTCGGTCTAAGACACTTCAGTCCCGAAGATAATGTGAACACAGGATAACGTGTTCACATGGCTAATGTGAACAGAGTCAGTCGAGCACACTCCGAGCCTAGTACGTAGATGTGTCACGACTCTTAACGGTCTTCAGTGACATTAACAAAGTTATCTTGCGCCCTCGTTATTCAGTTCGTCACTGTTATCCTGGTCTATATTGATATACAGGATGTCCCGAAATTATGGTGTCTCCAGAAAATGAGGGGTCCCTGAGATCATTTGAAGTAATGTTTTCCTTAGCGAAAATGCAATCCGCGGCTTCGTTTACGCGTTATTAACGAAAAACACGGACCAATAAGAGGCGAGCTTGGCTAGTGCGAAGCGGCCGAGCTAACGAGCGCACGACGCCCACTTTCGCTCATTGGTTCGGTAGCTTCGCGCCAGTTAGATCTCGTCTATCATTGGTCAATGTTTTTCGTTAATAACTGGTAAACAAAGCCGCGAATTGCATTTCGGCTAATGAAAAAGTTACTACAAATGACTTCAGGAACCCCTTATTTCCCGCTTGTACAATAATTTTGGGACACCCTGTACATGTATATCGAGTGTTTGTTCGTGCGTGATCCGACCGTAAAGTATACGTTGTGTTATACGAAGAGACTGTCTCCGAGCTGTTTCGTGCCTTCTTCAGTTGCCGGAAAATTTTAAGTTCGTTCCGCACGCTAGCGGAAGACTTATAATCGGCCACTCATTATTTCGCTCGTTTTGATATTTTTATCATATCTTTATTTATGCGATCCAATTATTTATAATTTCGTTACACAATAGGACAGGACCGATAAACTATTTATACGCCGTATATCTCTGACGAAAGTCCAACTTACATGGTTAATGAAGGGAGCAATACAAAAGACACGCGGTCATTTTCTCTGTTATTTATGAAAGTAATAAAATTGAAATGAAAAATTTCGCAGAATCGTTCCGTATAGTATTACAAAAACTGAATGTTATTATTTTAGGTTCAACTAACATCGAGAAAACTAAAAATCCATGATGTCATAATTCAGGACTGAGCAATTCATGCTCACGGAAACAAGCTACGATCATGACATTACGATCGCTCAATGGTCGAAAGTCCCCAAAACGTAACAGAAATTCGTTTTCTATGGAAGAATTATGTTAAAAAAAAACTTGTAAGAAAGTACTAAAATAAGTCGATCGTAAGTTACAATAAAATTTTCAAATAACGAGTACAATATATGCAATTCGAGAAAAAGATTACTTCTATTTTTGGTTATCTCTGTGGATAATTCTCACTTTTCAAATTTATCACTTTTCAATTAATCTTTTAATCACTAATTTCTATTAATCACTTTTCAAGTATATCTTCTAGATATACTTTATACGGTAGGTTCTGTGATGAGATCACAACACGAGCCCCGAGACGGCACAGAGGCAAGAGGCTCATCATTAAACACGTCTATCCCCGCCTCTACGCTCTCGCAGACATTACGCTGTTTCATCACATCGACTACCACTAATACGTGTCGACATGCACTATCTCACTCGTTCTCCGTACGTCTCATTCCCTCTCTTCATCGCGCGATCCGATTAATTGTGTGACCGCTTCGGGCAATAAAGCACTCTAGTCCAAAATACCTATGAGACTAGAAGGTACGCTCCGACTCTGACCAGTCGGACCCGCGTTCTTACCATACGTCATCGCATTCCTGCTTGGGCTCATCTTGTGATCTCGCCACGGTACTTAATTTTAAGTTAAAAGAAAACAAACGGAAATACAAATCTCGATGCTAATTATTGTTTCTTCTATATATAATAAATAAGATCCATCGAAATCATAGACACGATTACGAACATTCTAACAAAGAAAATTGGTATTTTCTCGCCACCGTAGAAAACAAATTTTTGCCACATTTTTCTTTTCAAACTTTTGTCATCGCCTTTTCAGATGTTCTCTCAGGCGCCAAATAACCTGTTCTCGCAGATGATCAACGTGCTCTTACTCTCGCAATGCGCTTTGGATCGGAGCGCGGATTATCCGCCGGATCGCACGGCAGATGTTCTATCGAAAAAAGATTTCGATTTTGTGATTGTTGGGGGTGGGACTGCGGGCTCTGTGCTAGCCCGGCGACTAGCAGAGGTAGACAACTGGGATGTTCTGTTGATCGAGGCAGGGAAGGATGCTAGTCCCACCAGTGAAGTTCCTGGATTTATGACGGCTCTAGTGAACACTACTGAAAACTATGCTTATAAGGTATACGCATTCACATTCGATCGCTGATTTTGCTTCCTGCTATTTCTATTAAGTCACTGCTCATAAATTGTTATTGAAACTACTGATTTGCTACCTCAGTTTAACTATTCTACTACGTCTTCGTCTATAATCCTGCAGTTCTGACTGTGTCGCCGACCATAGTTTGTCACGCCCTCATTATGTTACTGGCCATAGTTTCTCATTGTCCCATTGAGTCACTGACCATAGTCACTGAGTTATGATCGCGGATCATAAATAGCATCGATGTTGGTAGCATTTTAACAAGGACATCTACAGCGAACTTCAGTGACCGCGGTATTTACAATTCTGGTTGAGTTGATCACCATTGCGTTCTACATAAGTGCTCGATGAGAGTTATCACTATTTTGGTTGCTCCCACTAAGTTACCTACAATGGATTCCATTGCTTTCACTCTTTTGGTCAGTGATTAAAATTACTATTCTCCGAAGTAGGTCACTGTTTCCATAAGCGTTTGTCTCAGAGCAATATTCATAGAATCATAACTAAACCTGCGACATTAAAACTTATTTTTAATTACGATAAACAAAAACGTGGAACCGGATTCTTTTGAGAATCTCCAAACCAGAATGCCATTTCACATATATCAGGAGAGATTATATTCCCAAAATAGATCTATTTACTGCAGTTCTAACTATTCACTACCCTTCAAAAGAAAACATCCTGACGTTGAATCTCATTGCTTTCACTCGGTGAATGAGGATAATTATTGTCATCCGGACTAGAATCATAGATCACAGTACTTGCCGGTCACAGTTAGGTCACTGACCCCTGTCGTCACTATTTCAACAAGCCTCTAACTCGCAGCAGTTGGACTTCATAAAAACGTAACCAAATTCACGACATTATGATAGAGAAAATGGTTACAGTGGTTTTTTTATGGAAATCTTTCAAATGGCAACCAATTATCCGAAACCACCATGTCATTTCACAAGCACGTATGATGAGATTGCATTACCAAATTCATCTACTATCTATAGACCAACTTCCAAAAGAAGATATCTGAAATACGTTCACAGTGATACTAAACGTCTACTCCACTCCAGGTATTCAAGTTTGACATACTGAGAGTGGAATTGACAGCTGTTGCGATTATGAATGCGCATCACGTGACTTGTTGTAAAAAGTAAAACTTAACTTGGTTCATCTTGTCTTCAGACTGAGCCGCAGCCTGGCTTCTGCCAGGGTAACAAGAACAAGCGGTGCGGTTGGCACAAGGGCAAGGCCCTTGGCGGCAGTTCAGTAATAAACGCAATGTTAAACGTGTTCGGCAATGATAGAAACTACAACCAATGGGAGGAGCAAGGCAACGAAGGCTGGGGCTACGAGAACATGCTTCGATACCTTCGAAAGGCAACCAACTGTTCGCCAGAGTACATAGCAAAGTACGGAGACAGACACTGCGGGACGAACGGTCCGATGAGTATTAGGATGTTCAATGATTCTGATTCTATCGTTTCCGAGCTTTTGCTAGATGCAGCTCGGGAGATGGGCATCGGTGTGCTGGAGCCTGTAGTTAGCGACCGCTACATTGGTTTCGGGAGAACCTACGGTATC